AAACAAGAGGGCGTGAGAATTGTCACGTGATCTCGATGACGCAACAATATGTATATATATAGTTTCCTGTGTTTATATAGTGTTTCTCGTGTTTATATGTAGTTTGTCCCATTACATACTCTGTGTCCTGTGGTTATATACATCAAACTGACTTATTATGACTGAATGCTGTTTTGTATATATTTCTCAATGACCATTTCTAGAAATAGCCTTTAGACATTTTTCAATATCCAGACAGAGATACTTTTGATAGGAGTTGTTTACATTCTAGAATAAATCTGTAATAATAAAAATAGACCAATAACTAGGTATTCTTTGTAAAGATCATGGAACCAAACCCACGTAAACATATCTTTAGTTTACTTCCATAACTTTGAAGAAAAGAACAACACATTTTTGAATGAATAACCTTAAGTTGATGCACCAATTTCTAAGTTAAAACACCTTTGGTCTTCGCAAGTAAACAGATGTGTTACTAGAAGGATAGACAAGTGATGTTAGTAGAATACAACCGAGTTACTAAGGTGGTTCATTTGTTTTGAGGTTTCCAGCTTATAAGTAGTTTTGTTTTCTATTGTTATAACGCTTATACTATCATTGAAATATTTTCTGGAAAACGTAGATAAAAAATTAACAAAAATGAAAAGTTTTAACTAATTTTTAAAAAAGTCGTCTTTATGACTAGAAATGGTACTACCTTTTTTACCACAATAAGCAGACCAACTTCTGAACGGATTGGCCGTTAAAACCAGCCGTCGCAATAACTAGTACTGGGGGTGGTCGGATGTAAGTTAAATGTGCTCATCAACAGCTGCTGTCGAATATAAGTTTGACGTTTCCGTTACTTTTGGCACATCTTTCTTCCTCAGCAGGAATGTGAACACACACAGCGTGAGAAACAGGAACCATTACCATGTGTTTAGTCCGTTCGGCCTCTTCCGTGATTTCAAATCCAGAACTCTCTCTCGTTGAGCCAATAGAATTATAGGAGTTTGTATTACAAGGCATTTGATTGGTCATTTCCACGTCGCCCTGTGATTCCATAACAGCTACTTCTCGATAGTGAGGAGTCCCCAGCGGCGTGGCTTGAAGACTGTAGACTATTACACCCGTGAGAAACACGAAATATGATAGCACGTATAGCCAGTGGAACTAGAAGAAACAAATCCCCAAACATAAGAAAACCGAATTCAGTAATCACTCAGTAAAGTAACACTATTTATTATAAGTTAGCCTTCGTTACTGTAAAGCAACGCTAGTTACTACTAACAGAAACGCCCCCTACGGGCGGCTGTTTGTACTAGTAATTGCTAATCGTAGTATTGATACTTCCATTAAAAACTGTTTTTGAAAAATTGAACACTTTCTAACAACAATTTATTTATTTTATTGGAAAAGTGTTCGGATTGTTCTCTTTGGTCATACGTAGTTCATTGCATCAAAATGATTCATTGAGTACATGACTCAATATTTTCATAGATTTTACTGATATAAACTGTAATTTTTTTAAACATTAAAAGTGGTACTGTTTATTGTAAAATTATAGTTTTTTTTTTAAGAACTCTAGTTTTTCAGTACTACATTTAAATATTACCTCAATAAAGATATAATCAAACCCTCACGTACAGTCCTAGTGAAAGTTGTGTTCTTGTTGTGAGGAGAGTACTTTTATTTTAAGATTGTGTTCTATTATTTAAAAAAAATATGGTTGTTACACATACCACAGTTATTCTTCTAATTGTCTGAATCTTAAATACCCAAAGTGTGAAATTTTTATGGATTTTTGTTTGTATTGCTATTCAATAGATGGCGGAATAGTATTGGTTACATATATAGATACTGACATATACGCTACGTCCATTATAGCAATACAAGCTAGCCTTTCTTACTGTAGCAGTCCTAGGTATAATAAGTTAGCCTTCGTTATTGTAAAAATTGTTTTTTTCCAAATATTAATTTGTATATCGCCTACTCTGAACTTTTTTCTACTATAGAGAGAGTATTTTACGGACAAACTATGTTCAAAACCCATTACAAACACAATTTGTATGCAACGTCTTGTTTATCTACTGGTTTATGGAATTACAAGGACGTAACTTATGTGAGTTTATTTACCATTGAAAGTAGGAGTTTTACTTAGTTTTTAAATGTCTAAATGTGTAACTCAACCCATTCTTAAACAGCGAAAGAAAGACCTTATTTCCGGTCTCTAAGATTGGATCTCTACTCCAAATTTAAACATCTAGTCTTGGCCCAAACAGAAACTAGAAACTAGATTCCCTAGTAATGCATGTCAAATTTAACTATCGATAGAGTATCAACGTATAAACAAACCAACCTTCACAATGGCCCAGACTAAGTATGACAAATTTAACTATCGGAAGAGTATCAACGTATAAACAAACCAACCTTCACAATGACCCAGACAAAGTATGTCAAATTTAACTATCGATAGAGTATCAACGTATAAACAAACCAACCTCCACAATGACCCACATAAAGTATGTCAAATTTAACTATCGGAAGAGTATCAGCGTATAAACAAACCAACCTTCACAATGACCCAGACAAGGTATGTCAATTTAACTATCGATAGAGTATCAACGTATAAACAAACAAACCTTCACAATGACCCAGACAAAGTATGTCAATTTAACTATTGATAGAGTATAAACAAACCAACCTTCACAATGACCCACACAAAGTATGTCAAATTTAACTATCGATAGAGTATCAACGTATAAACAAACCAACCTTCACAATGACCCAGACAAAGTATGTCAATTTAACTATCGATAGAGTATCAACGTATAATCAAACCAACCTTCACAATGACCCACACAAAGTATGTCAAATTTAACTATCGGAAGAGTGTTGTTTCGTAATAACATAATAAGGTGTTTCCACATTACACCTATGAAACATCCATCTTCCCTAGGGACGTAAGCTTGGAAACCACTTCTCTAGAAGGTACCGGAAACTGAGTTTACAGTGGAGTAAAGTCCAGGTTGATATACATTTATTAGACAACAATGATGAAGACAGCTTTGAAGTTCATCTAAAATACCCCCCACTGGATTCAGACCCGTGATTTTACTGGCCAAGAAAATCATTATCACGCTCTTTAAACCAATTTTAGAAAATTCGAACGTAGTGAATGAATCTGTTGTGATGTTTTTTTTGTATACAGTTTTGTATACAGTTTGTATGTTATTCGCTCATTTAAAGAAACTAAGCCACTGTGTTGTTGCCACAAGAACGTACCTCACACTATTACACCACCTCCAGCAGTACCTCACACCATTACATCACCTCTAGCAGTACCTCACACCATTACACCACCTCCAGCAGTACATCACACCATTACACCACCTCCAACAGTACATCACACCGTTACACCACTTCCAACAGTACCTCACACCATTACATCACCTCCAGCAGTACATCACACCGTTACACCACATCCAGCAATACCTCACACTATTACATCACCTCTAGCAGTACATCACACCATTACACCACCTCCACAGTACCTCACACTATTACACCACCTCCAAAAGTACATCACACCATTACACCACATCCAGCAGTACCTCACACTATTACACCACCTCCAACAGTGCCTCACACCATTACACCACCTCCAGCAGTACATCACACCATTACATCAACTCCAACAGTACATCACACCATTACACCACCTCCAACAGTACCTCACACCATTACACCACATCCAGCAGTACCCCACACTATTACACAACATCCAGCAGTACATCACACCATTACACCACCTCCAGCAGTACATCACACCATTACACCACCTCCAACATTACATCACACCATTACACCACCTCCAACATTACATCACACAATTACACCATATCCAGCAGTACATCACACCGTTACACAACCTCCAACAGTACCTCACACTATTACACCACATCCAGCAGTACATCACACCATTACACCACCTCCACCAGTACCCCACACCATTACACCACCTCCAACAATACCTCACACAATTACACCACATCCAGCAGTACATCACACCATTACACCACCTCCAACAGTACATCACACCTTTACACAACCTCCAACAGTACCTCACGCTATTACACCACCTCCAGCAGTACATCACTCCATCACACAACATCCAGCAGTACATCACACCATTACACCACCTCCAACAGCACATCACACCATTACACCATTTCCAGCAGTACCTCACACTATTACACCACATCCAGCAGTACATCACATCATTACACCACCTCCAACAGTACATCACACCATTACATTACCTCCAACAGCACATCACACCATTACACCATTTCCAGCAGTACCTCACACTATTACACCACATCCAGCAGTACATCACATCATTACACCACCTCCAACAGTACCTCACACCATTACACCACCTCCAGCAGTACATCACACCATTACACCACCTCCAGCAGTACCTCACACTATTACACCACATCCAGCAGTACATCACATCATTACACCACTTCCAACAGTACTTCACGCTATTACACCACCTCCAGCAGTACATCACTCCATTACACCACCTCCAACATTACATTACACCAAATCCAGCAGTACATCACATCGTTACACAACCTCCAACAGTACTTCACGCTATTACACCACCTCCAGCAGTACATCACTCCATTACACAACATCCAGCAGTACATCACACCATTACACCACCTCCAACAGTACATCACACCATTACACCACCTCCAGCAGTACCTCACACTATTACACCACATCCAGCAGTACATCACGTCATTACACCACCTCCAGCAGTACATCACGTCATTACACCACCTCCAGCAGTACATCACACCATTACACCACCTCCAACAGTACATCACACCTTTACACAACCTCCAACAGTACCTCACACAATTACACCACATCCAGCAGTACATCACACCATTACACCACCTCCAACAGTACATCACACCATTATACCACCTCCAGCAGTACATCACACCATTACACCACTTCCA